GAATTGTATTTTTTCTTTTTTCTAAGTAAATCAGACAGACAGGTTCATATACGAAATAACAATATAGAGTTTTAGTTTTTAGATTGTATTATGAAAATAAAAGTACAAAAAAATACAGTGCATAACTTTTTTTTTAATTTTATTAAATCCTATGTTTTTGCTCTCGTTTTACTCCAAACGCATTTCTTCAATTCATCTAATAGAATAAAAACTATGTTTTATTTTTTTCTAATTCAAATTCTAATTGTTGAATTCTCTTATCTTTATCACGTAATTTTTCTTGCAACTGTTCAATAATCATTTGTTTTTTATTATTTTGTTGTTTTTTTATTCTTTGCTGGATATCTTTAGCATACATCATTAATATTTGTTTAACATTTGGTCGTTTATCATTTTCAATTGATACTAATTGTTCAATTATATTTGTTTCAAATGGATAATATTCTGAAAATTGGTCTTCAACTTTCATATGTGCACGTAAATCACTTAAAGAACAATATCGTTCCATTTCAGTTCGAAATATATTAAATAATTCAAAAAGAACAATTCCTAAACTGTATGAATCTGATTTATCTGTTGCAATACAACGATTTGAATTAAGTTGTTCAGGTGGAGCATATAAAGCTGTTCCAACACCAGTTGATTCATCACTTTTTAATTGTTCAAATGAATCAGACATTGATTCTGAATCAAGTAAAGTAGCTAAACCGAAATCACCTAATTTAACATGAACACATGATCTATCTTTTGTATCGTGTGTAAGAAAAATATTTCGTGGTTTTATATCACGATGAACAAATGATTGTGAGTGAAGATACTATAACAAATAATAAAAGATATTTAAAAGAACAGAAAAACTTTTTTTTTTAAATATTTACTTCAACAGCAGTTAAAATTTGTTTAAAAATATGCCAACATTGATGTTGACCTAAATCATCTAATGAATAAAACATATTCTTCTTTACATTAGGTGTTTTTTCAATAATGTTTTGATCACGAGAACGTAGCCAATGATGTAATGTCATATCACATAGTTGCATTTGAATAAAAAGTACTATTTTAGAATTAATATAATTTGATTGAACTATTGGCTGAATAGATTGATTTCGTGTATGTAGTGGAACTAGTGCTCGATTTGACAATCTGTCATTTGATGACGTTTCATGATGAGATTTTATATATTCAAAAGAAATTTTTGAAGACGATAATGAACGATTACCACCATCTGAATGATATGGATGTTGAATTTCTACATTGGAATGCTTGCCATTGATTCCAAATGCTGAAGTCTAAACAAAATTAAAACTAAATTTAGATAAAAATGTTCATATTTCATTTATGGAAAGAATAATATCACTGAAAAGAAATTATCATTGTCTAAATTCCTGATCAGATGACATTCTTACAATGATGACTCTGTATATTAAAACTAACATCTTGTTTTTCACTATTTTCAACTCATCTGAACCGATTGGATATGATTTTGAAGTTTTCTTAAGGATTCGTACTAGGGTTGCCGATTCAGAAGAGACTTCCACCCCGTCATCTCCCTACAATATCCAAATTTCTGCGAAATTTTTCTAAATTGTATTTGATATTTGAAACTAGCATTTTATGCCTGTAACTTCTTAAATATATTTAAAGTTTTCTTTGTAGACAAATTTTGATCATAGATATTTCTTTAACTAACCTCCATTTCATCATCATATTCTATTGATGTTGTTGAACTTTTTTGTGGAGATTTTTCCTCATCTTTTTGCTTTTCATTTTTTGGTGATGATAAAGATTGTCCTTCAAATTGAATTATGTCATCAAGAGAATCATAATGTGTAAGTTGAGGAACGGGATTTTTTAATAGCATTGGTGATAATGATGATGATGATCGACGTGTACGAGTTTCAATAGGTACTAATTCGAGCCAAGCACAATGATATTGAACTATATTTGAATGATTTAATGCCGCAAGAACTCGTACTTCACGTACAGCACGTTGCGCTTGACGAAGAGTGCGATCTGTATTGCCATTAAAAACAATTTTTTTAATAGCATACGCACGATCATCTAAACGATTTTTAGCACGAAATACAGAGCCTAGAAATTTAATATATCAAAAATAAAAACAATGAAAAAAAAATTGACTATGAAGAAAATAACAAAAGGAAAAACTTACCAAAAGCACCTTTGCCTAATTTATTAAGTTCATAAAAATCTTGAACATAACGAAAAACAACAATATTATTATCAAAACCATTTGTTGCTATAGTTCCTTTCATTGTTAAAGGTAATGGTATTTTTAATTGAATATCTTGTTGAGGAATATCAATACTAATATTTGATGGTGGTGTTGTAATTAAAACTTTTTCAAAATCACTTCCCAAAAGATTTGTAATAGTCGTTCTATCTGATGATGTTGAATGATTTTGAATAAGACCTAATGCTGTTTGAATACTTTCTTGTAAAGTACGTACATAATCTTGAAAAAGTTGTGATTGTCGTATTAACTTAGTTGATAAGGTCATTGTTGCTGGTAATGTTTTACTTCTTTGAAGAAAATCAAGTAACAAATGAAATAACATACGCGATTTAATTGGATCATTATCTGTTAATTTTAATGAGAGTATTTCAAGTAAAGCAAAAAAAACTAATTGAAAACGTATTATTTCTGGTTGTGTTAATGTTGAAAAATATTTTAGAATTTGTACAGGACCACGATCAAATTGAGATAGAGTTTTATTTGTTTGATTATTATACTCAGATGATTTTGAATTAGATGACATTAAATCTGAAAGCATAAATCAATAGATGATAACTTGAATTTTGTTTTTTTTCTTTGACAAAACAGATATAACAGACTCCTACAACAATAAGAATAACATTAAACAAAAATTCTATCCGAATAAGAAGTATTTCTTTTGGGTTTTTTTTTGATGTATGGTTAAAAATAAAATGAGTAAGATTATTTTTTCTTTTTCTTTCATATTCAGTTTTCACGATGAACAAGTACGAAAAAACCGAGTACAGCTAAGACCAAATATTTCAATTGAGGATGATCATTCATTAAAATTGTTACCATACCAATATATGGAAGAAAACTATAAAAAACAAAATCTATTATATATAAGAAAATAATTATAAAAATACCCTCGAGCTCGACCAATAACATCTTTCTTTTCAAGCCATAATTGTCCTGGTGAATAAAGACCACGATCATCAACTTGATTGTTATCACCTTTTGTTAAAAATTTAACATAACCATCATCTCTATTGTTAATAAATGAAAATAGATTTTCGTTTTTTTTTCCCCTTTTGTTTAAGAAATTAAAAACTAACGTACTTTTCATGTACTTTAAGAACTCGATGAACAATAGGAATATCGCGACCTTCAATACGAAATACAACAATATCACCAGCACGAATTGGTTCTTCTTGATAATTTGTTAATAGAAGAAGATCACCACGGAAGAAAGCAGGTTCCATACTACCACTAAAATAAATAAATATATAATTAAATGTATAATCAATTTTATTTGAAAATCAAACAAATTAACCTAAGTACAACAACAATAGGACTTTCACTGCCTGTTACTACCATAAGACCTTTCCATATCATAAGTGCTGTTGAAATAATCATACCAAAATTAAGTACTTGATATATTGCCTAATTATAAATAAAGAAATGAAATTCTAATGTTCGAATGATTTTACAATAATGATTAATACCTGTCGTTTATCCATACGTCTAAAATAATGAAACATAAAATAGTAGAAGATTTTCTAGTTAACTTTTTCTTACTTTAAATCGTCAACAAACGAAAAAAGTTCCATTGTATTGCTTTTGGAATTAACCGCAAAAATATAAAATAGAAGTCAACGAATCTGAAATATAAATACCTGAGATAAATGTTATCATTAATCAAATGTTTCTAGATTTTTACGATACATAATCAATCATGCAATGACATTGCATTGCAACAGTTATTGATACAGATGAAAAGGCTTTTGGCTGGTGCATCTGGAATGGTAAATTCAGAAAAACGAATCTGATATGATTAATATTATCCACATCACACCCCAACAGAGGTCGCTATTGTTCGGTATCACATCGATTGAATTATTTTTCATTCTAGTTTACAACGGAACACAAGAATACTTCTTTTCTTGACTAGCGTAGCCGTGATATATTCTGATACATATCCTTTTGAGTTTTTTACAAGAATTTTGAGAATATAATCCAAGTAAATTTTGTATTCAATCAACATCGACAAGACTTTTTTAAACAAGGTTTCCAAAAATACAAAAAAAAAATAAGTTAATTTTATGATTTTTATATTTTACAATGGAACTGTTTCTTTGAATAGTAGTAGTAGCATAGAAAATGTTTCATCATCATCTAGCATTTGAGGAAAAGAAATGCATATCTCAGATAGATTCCGCAATGGAAAGAATATTTTGTTCTTCACTTCATTCTGGCCTGACTTTAGTTTTTGCTTTGCGACTTTTTTACGTCTTTAAAAAATGTTTGCATCTTTTGATCATATAATAAATTTGATTACATATTGTAAAAAATAGACAAGGAGTGCAATAACGGTATAGTTAGGAATCTGATCTTTTACAAAAAGTGAACATTTTCTTTAGTAAACTTTTCGAAATAAGAATACGCCTCTCAACGTCTAAATCAATCGATTGAGCCATAGCTGGCAATGATTTTAAGATTTTGAAGATATCATGGTTGCAGCCGTCAACACTCTAGTGGTCTATTTCGAATTTTCTCTAAGCTAAGAAAATGTAAAAACAAAAAGAGAAATATTAAAAACTTTCAGTCACCGCTGCCATTGCTGATTAATTCATCAACCAACACCTTTATTCATCTCAGATAATCTTATTTATTCATATCTGCATTAGTTTTTTTTATAACAAAAGAATTTCATATATTGAAAAAAGAACAACAACAAAAAAAATCAAGATTATTATTCTGTCTGTTGATCATCTTTTTTAGTTGTTTTATTCTTTGAATGTGCTTGTTGCCATAAAGCATTTCGCATAAGTCTAGTTGATGCTTGTTTATCAATTCGTGCTGCTGATTGTCTATCACTAACTGCTTTTAATTTATCCATATAAGATTTTACTCGATCTAATTCACTTTTTAATTGTGTTTGTTTCGGATCAACACCACGTGTTCTTAAATATGCCCACATTAATGAATTAAGTGTATAAGCAGCAGTTAAATCAAAACGAGCTTGATCAAGTGGTGTAAGATTTTCATGAAGCGCTGTATATGATACTGAATCAAGTCGAGAAAGAAATGTTTCAAGTTCATTTAAGGAACTTTCAAGTTGACTTGCTCGTGCATTAAAATCAGCTTCAACTTCAGCATCAGGTCGATTAGGTTTTGTTGTCATTTTATTTATATATCTGAAGTAAAAAAAAAACAAACCAAAACAAATAAGCGAGCTAAAAGAATAACAGTTTAAAGAAAAGAAAAACGATAAAATAACGAAATAATAACTAATTTTTTCCTCGACCTCGTCCACGACCACCACGAGAAGAACCTCTTCCACGATTACTACTACCACCACGACCTCTTCCACGGCCTCGACCACGGCCACCACCTCTTGGCCCTCCCGGCGTACCACCACCACGTCCACTCGTTGGTCGATTTTGCATATTGGTAATAAAAGTGACTGTTCGTTGAATAGCGTCAAGAAAATATTCATGACAAAGTATACATGCTGATGAAAGAGAAGATAAATCAGGACTTTTTTCCTTAAAAGAAAAAGAAAAAGATTTAATCATTTTATTTGTCATATTTGATTGTTTTTTTCTTCAAAATTTTCTACCTTATTAAATTCTATATCCATCAATGTTGTATCACATTGTTTACAAAATTCACCTTCTTTCAGTGTTATTTTTTGAATAGCCTCAGGTAATGTTAAAATAAATGAACATCTATAATGAAAATGTTTTAAATTTCTAATCTCTAATTTATTTAAAATTCTACATACTTATTACAAGCAAGACGATATTTTGGTATTGATGTTACATCTAATAGAAACATACCTTGTTTACATATATAACAAGTACATATACCATTAAATTCAAGTGAATAACGACATGTTGGATGTGTACATTCATTACAACCAACATTTTTACGCATATCTTTAAATGGTGGATTATTATAACAGTAAGGACATAAAGAAAAATTCTATATCAATATTAAAAAAAAAATTACTAAATAAACAAAAATTATTTAAGCAAAAACAAAAAAATTTACTTTTGCATTATTATTAGCAACATATTGAACTAGTTCAAATTCATCTAATGGACATCGAAGTTCTTTAAATACTTTAATAGTACCATTTTGTGGAAGATTATATGTTTCTTTACATGTTTCACAATGTAAACGACTAGGTCTTGATTCAATTAATTTCATATAACGACGACATTTTCCACATCTATGTGGGGAAAAAACAAGATAAGATTTTAATTATTTGATATAATTGAATAAACAAATCTTACCGAACAAATGGTTTTCCACTAGCAGCTAATGGTGAAAATGATACTTCAAAAAGTGAATCCATTCCTTGAATATGTTGAACAAAGTAATGAAATTTTTGTTCAAATATTCGAAGTACATGTGAAACTACTTGTTGATAATTAACACGACCAAGAGCAATCTTATAACAAAAAAAAAATATGAAAATTCGTTACTTCTTGAATATATACGCAAAAAAAAAGAAAATAAACAAACTTCATTAAGTTCTGTTTCAACTGATGATCTCATATGAGGTAAAGATAATTCCGGATCAATCTAATCAAAAAACAAAAATATTAAAATATTCTGTTCGAAAAGAAAACAGCAGAAATTTTAATCTTGAAATCTACTATTTCTTCTTCGATTTCGTCGTTATTTTAATTACCTTTTGATAACCATGAACAAGTACAATACCTAATGATGTTGGTATTAAACGTCGTCCATTATCAACTTTAACATAATTTCGTTCACAAATATTATTAATATGTACTGGTATACTTGCATCTGTACCAATACCATGTTTTTCCATTAATGATATTAATTCACTTTCAGTTAAATAATCTGGTGCTGTTGTATGTCGTTCATCTAATTTAATATCTTCGATTGTAAATATTTCATTTATTGTCAATGATGGAATAGGTTCATCATTCGAAACACGTTTCCATGGCATAATTGTTGTAAAACCAGGTTCAATAACATTTTTACCTGATAATGAAAATGCTTCATTTGATGCATCAAATAAAACTGTTGTTTCTTCATATATACAATCTGGACTAACCTAAAAGAAGATAAAAACAAAAACACACACACACTTTTGTATTGCTGTTCTATTTAATTACTATACATCATACTGTTGCAATAAAATGTCGACAAATATAATCGTATAAACGCCAATAATCACCACCACCAACAGATGATGAACTAGCTGCTTTAACTGGTGTTATTGGAGGATGATCGCCAACATCTTTGCCTCGTTTTGGTGATGTATATTGTCCTTCTGATAGAAGACTTTTTATATGACTTCGCCAATCTGTATCTGAACAATTAGATAAATCACGAAGAACACTCCTAATAAGACCAAGAAATATACATTTTAATAATAAGTTGCTGGTTATTTTGTAAATAGATTTACTTAAGATCAGCATTATCAGCATATTGTGTAGTTTCTGTACGTGGATAACTAATATAACCCGATGTATAAAGACGTTCGGCAACTTGCATAGCATTCTGAGGACTCATACCTAACAGAAAATAATTCTATAAAAAAAATAAACAAATCATATTCTTACCAAGACCAGCACTAGCTACTTTTAATAAATCAACAGTATTTAATGCATTTGGACGTGCTTTATGTTTTTTTTCTGTTTTTATAGATACAACTCTATATTATAGTGTAATAAATCTTTCGATTCTTATTTATTTTTATACTAGTTTATTTACCGAACTTTATTTGCTGCTTTGATATTATTAAGAAAAAAATAAGCTATTTCTTTATCAAATACATGACCACGATCCCAATAAAGTTTTAAAATTTTATCATTTGTATGTTTTATCTAAAACAACACAATAGCAAAATATCTTTCTTATTATGATTATATATTTAAATTACTTCAATAGTTAATAGCCAATACGGTTCCGATTGAAATGATTGTATTTTATCATAACGATCAACGCAAAAACCAAGTGTTGGTGTTTGACAAGGACCATATGATATACAACTACTATCTAAATCACCGTATTTTCCCTATAATAACAAAAAAAATAAAATACAATAAACAAACTAATTTATATAATAGAATACTTGAAAATATCGAGTTTGAAATCGTGTAAATGCACAACCAATACGTAAATCAAGTTCTTGACGAGCATCCACAGATAATGATTGATTTTTATCTGGATAAGCAAGATTACTAAATGCATGACGAATATCTTTATCAGTAATTGAACTAAATCTTGCACGCAAAACTTTCGCCTATTGACAAAAAAATCAAACAGAAACAAATTTTTCATATTTTTTAATAACAATCAAATGATTTTTTTTTACAAACATTTTGATTAATTGAATTCTTAATGCAATCAAGAACTTCAAAACAAATATTTTCTCCTTCTTTGTCACAATCTAGCCATAGTATAATTACATCGGCACCTCGCGATTCTTTTTCAAGAAAAGCTGGCATATGATGATTTGACGATGCTTCTTTTTTTAATGTTTCACCAGCAAATAATTCAGTCTAATTAATCATTTTATATACAATGACTCCAAAAATTTATCATAAAGATTTTATTTCCATTCTTTTATCGTAATGATAAATTGTATAAAAAGTATAAATAGTGACTTGAATAGAAAAGATTGTTTACAACAAGAATACGAAGGAAATAACATCCTCATTCTATTCGAAAAACTCGAAACTTAGTTTTTTTACCAATAAGAATCTGAAGATAAAAGTTTCTTTTGATTACACAGAGTAACATTTCCCAGTTATGACATCTCAGCTCAATAATCGATTTGCTAGCCATTGTTCTCATGGAAAACTGAACATGAAGGACTTTTGAGCTTTTCTTAAAATTTTCGTAATTCAGTTAAAGACTGTTATATTTTAAATCTTTTTCGAAAGCAATTTTCTCTCTTCAAATCACTATTTGAATCGTTTATTCCAATTACTATTTCAGAAAAAAAATTGAAATTAAATCTGTATGACCAATTTTTCAATGTTATTGTATGAAATATTTTGATAAAAAGAAAGAAAAATAAACACAATTGAAAATCTTACTGGATCAACTTTATCCCAATTATTATAACGTGGAACAAAATCAAGACCAAATACATGACCAGCTACTGACGTCATACGAAAACGAGCGGACGGATTTGATTGAAATTTTCCTGTCCATTCATGAACACTACAAACATTATTAAAACCTTTTCTTGATGATAATTGTCCATTAGATAGAATTTGTGATATTGATAAAGCCAACGATGGCTTTTCAGCAACCATAAATATAATCATTATTTTAAAAAGATCTATTTGAATTAAAAAGAAAAAGAAAAAGAAAACCTATGAAGATCAATTCGCACACTTTCTCTGTTATTTGTTTTGTTTTTTTAAAAACATAACAATAATGGTTTCATTTTAACAAACAGAAAAAAGAAATAAATGTAAAAGAAAAAAGACCGTGATGTTCTTGGCTAAATCTTTGATAATGATTTTTGTGTGTTTACATATTTTTAATAATGTCATCTATTTCTTCTTTTTTAAATAATCGATAACCTTTAGCATCAACTGTAGCCATTTCAACATTAGTTGCATTCAATTTTTCTTCCATAACTTGTTTAAGAATTGTTAAAACATGTTTACATGCTTCTGATAATTTCATTGATTTATGATAAACATCTTGAAGTGTTTGATCAGCACCTTCACTACCTGATCCAATGGCTTTAGCATCATATTCTGTATATGTACCTGATGGATCAAGATGAAATAAATGTGGACCAGTTTCATCCCAACCAGCAAATAAAAGTGCAACACCAAATGGACGTGAAATAGGTGCAACTTCATCTGAATCATCGCTAAATGCTAATGCCATATTTGATACAGATTGAGTTATCGATTCAATTGTCATACGTTCATTATGTGTAAACCAATGATTTTGTGCTTCAACACGAGCTTTATCAATTAATGTTTTTGCATCAGCAATTAAGCCAGACATAGCACAACCGCAACTAAAATATATTATTTATTATATATACATTTATATATATATTAAAAAAAATTTTTTAAATAATAACTAACTGTTCATCAACTTCAACAATTTTTTCGATACTACGTGGTTCAATAAGTACGGATGTAATACGTTTTTCCGTAGCTAAGACAACACCTAAATAAAAAAAACAGTCGAATGAATAAAATTCAATATTAAACATTCATCGAATGAAGTTGAACATTTTGTGAAACATGATCCAACAGAAGTGTTGTAGTATAAGGATAAAAATTTGCTCTTCTTCCTCGCCAAACTGTGACAACAGGCATTGTTGATATATGATTACAGACTGTATATCAATAACGTTTCGTCAGATAAATTCTTCATTCTATTTCTGTAGGATTAAGTAAAAGGATACTGAAGAAATATGTCTCAATGCAGATAGGATAAAGCAACCTTTTGACGATTAACAAGAGAAGTTACATCGTATTTCACCATCTTAGTCTCATAGGAATTGGACTAAGAGCTTTTTTTTGTAAATAGATTTGATTTCAAAAATAGGAAATAAGTATCTACCAACGACTATATATTTTTGAACGTTATTTTTCATGGTAATCATTTTAGTCAAAAAGAAATAGTCAAATTTACTCAATATAAACCATTGTACTAGAGTCAAAATACTCGGCAACATCAACTACTGCTAAACAATAGTCCTAGTACTATGATTTCTTGGGTAAATTTGAATCTTTTTCTTATCAAAAAGATCAATGCAACGAACTCTACAACCAAAAACGTCTTCTATGAATCTTCTGTTTTCACACAGTTGACTACACATGGAATCATCCATCAAAAAATATGATTCTCAAGCATTATCTTGTTGAAAAAAAAAATATGTATATCTTTATTTTTCTAACCTTCTTGTGTCATAATTCCAATAGCTGTTGTACCAAATTTAATTGCTTCAATAGCATATTCAACTTGAAAAAGACGACCTTCAGGTGAAAATGTATTTACACCTCTATCATATTCACTTCTTGTCATAAACATTTTTAAAAATTCTTTTTCTTTTTCACTCGGAGATCTTGAAAACAAACAATCCCGTATGAATATAATCTAGAATACTAACAAAAACATATATCTTTTATTTCGATCTACAATCGACCACAAAAAAAAATCTCGTCTTTGTCTCTCAGATGATAGATATATATATATATGTATATATGTATGTAAATTATGTACAAACAACCAAGAAAAAGGAAAAAAGAGAAAACTGAATGAATACATATGTTGATAATAATAATGATGAAGTATATAATAAGTTTTGCTAAAAGAAAAGCATAGACGGATACACAAAAATGAAAATGATTTTATTTAAGATTGATGAACTTTATTTGGTAATTTAGGTATAGGTGGTAAATTAATCCAATTAACATTAACACTTGATATACGTAAACGAAGTTTAGGAGCAAATACACGCATATCACCTAATTTTAAACCATGTTGTTCTTCAAATTGTGCTATAATACGAGCATATTTTTTCGATGGATCTTCTTGTTGTTGTTGCTGCTGTTGTTGTTGTTGTTGTTGATGATGTTGTGAGGGTGGACGACTTGAATAAAAAAAATAAAAAGTATATTTCATTTTTTTTAAATTAAATAAAACTTTACCCGCGTCGTGCCGGTACTCGTATTGTTTGTTGAAATTCTTCCTCTTGTTGTTGTTGTTGTTGTTGTTGTGTATCTTGATTAATATCATATTCTTCATCATCTTCATATTTTCTATAACGATGTTGTTTACCATATTGTGAATGACGATTCATACCAGTTGATATATAATCATCATCATTACGAATACGTTTTCTCATTTGTTGTTGATCATCATCATCTTCATTTTCATAATATCGTTTTGTATTTTGATAACCAGTTGAACGTTTATATGGTTGAGCTATTGTTGTATTACGAAATTGTAAACGATTTTCTTCGTCAATTATTTCTTCACCACCAGGACCTTCAATATGTTCAGTTGTTAAACCAACTTGTTTCTAAACACAAAAACAAAAAAAAAATAAAAGATAAGATTTTATATTCAAAAATTTTTTTTTATTTAATTTGAAAATTATTATTGAGAATTTCATGAACTAAAAGTGAAACAACTTGTTTCGATAATACTTAGTATATTTATTTGATGCTAAGATATTCAATATGTACAGTAAAAAAAAATCTTATATTTCAATCAAGAAAATACTAAAGTTTTATAATACTTAGAATTTTAATCAGCTATGTTTATCTTTTAGTTCGCTTGGCTAAAACTATTGAATACAAATTGATATGAATAATCAGATTTTAATAAACTTTATTGATGATAAAATAAAGAGTTAGGATACATAAAATTTTAAAATTGTTGTTGCGCTGACAATGTATTTGATGTTCTTTGAGCTCTCTATAATCTGCAAGTATCTGAAGAAGATTATTTTGTTTTTGTGTAAAACACTGATTATTAGTATTTTATCCAGCTTTTCTCTTTCGAAGGAACAATTAAAAACCCTGAGAGAATGAACACTTATTTTTAGAAGCATCAATACAAAGTACCTGCTACGATAATTACAAACTTCAGGAGGATCAATACGATTCTCGAATAGAAGTGAAGGGTATTGACGGGCAAGGAGAAGGATGTGGGTTTCTTGGAGACAGAGTCAATCTCTCCAATATCCTATCTAAGAATGTTCCTGACAGGCGCACTGCCTCGACAATCTATACGCTAAATAAAATACTATTGATTATGATCATATTCAATAGGAAAAAAAAAGAAGATTTATCATTAAATAAATTAATTTACTTTTCCAGGTGATATAACTTCAATTTGACTTTTAGATGATGCATCTGTTGTTGTTTGAGTTGTTGGACTATTTGATGATGAATCAATAGTTGCATCTTGTAAAAGCATTTTTTTTGATTCTGGTAATTGTTCATAAAAACTTGGTAACATATTACCAATATAAGATGATTTAATTGTTCCACCAGTTGGTTTAATAGGTGGTGCTGGTGCTGATGCTGGTAATTTAACTGGTGATGACATTGTTTTTGTACTTGTTGTTTGAATATTTGTATCATCATCTTCATCAAGTTCTTGATCTTCTAACATATCCATTTCTGTAACTGTTGGTGCAATATCATCATCAAGATCATCATCAGCAATAGATGAACGAAGATTATTTGATCGAAAACGTTGTACAGCTATTCGTGCAGCTGTACGTTTCGGTAGTTTATTACGACGTACAATTGGTTGATGAAGATCGCCTTCTAAACTATCATCATCTTCTTCATCTTCATCAAAATCATCACCTGAATTAAAATCATTTGAATGACGAAATGTAACACGTTTTGATGATGCACTTGGAGGATATTCGGAACGAGGATAAAGACGTGGTGGTGGTGGTATATTACGACGTATTTGAGGATTATTACCACGTGTACTACTATAAGATGATAGACCACCACCACGACGAGGAATAATTGTTGTTGGTTGACGATAAGATGATAATGATGATGATGATGGTGGTGGTTGTGGTGGTGGTGGTATAACTGGTCGATTTGTTATTCCACCACGAGATCGACGATCATCATCAAATGATGAACGAGGTGTATAACCACCACCACGAATCTAAAGAACAAATAATAATAAAAACAATATTTCAATAGAAACAAAAAAAAAGAAATTTTTTACATTTTGTTGTTGTTTTAAACGTCGATCAATATGTCCAATAGCTAATGGATATTTAACAGGTGTATCATCATCAGCAAAATTATAATGACGATAATTATTGACTAGAGGAGAAGTCGTTGTTGTATGTGATGGTAATAATGCAAGTGGTGCACGTTCACGTCCTGTTACCGTACGACGTGTATTCATTCTCATAAATACTTCATAAGGATCATAATCATCATTTATTTGTTGATTTGTATTATTTAAATCAATAGCATCAACTTCAAGACAAAGATCAATATTAAGACCAGCATATGGATCATAATCATCATCTGCTGTTGACATATATTCAAATGCAGCATATGATGTTGATGTTGGTTCAACTTCACATTCAAAATTTGATTCATCTTTACGTTCTTAATAATAAAAAAGAAAATTATTGTTAATTTTTTAAAATAATCTAATTAAATAATTAACCTCGAATTTCAGCATCTCGTTTTAATCTCCATCCGAGTAAAGTAAGACCTTCAGTAAGATTAGGTTGATGAAGTATAGCAGTCATCTAGAAATACCTAATGAAAGAAAACAAAAACAAAATGTTTAACACCTCTCTTAAAATAAAGAGATAACAATAACGGTTGAATTTATTTAAAACAAACACTATTCATCAATACTATCGTTATTTGTCTGTTTTTCGTGACGTATATTTTTCTTATTTTTTCTTGATTCCATTTGACCAAGTTTTTTATAAACAACTTTTTTCAATTGTTTATTTTTTTGTAAACGTTTTAATTCTTGAATTTTTTGTTGTTTTTGATGTTGAATATTACGATTAGTTTGAGTTTTTTGTTTAGCTTTTAATCGATCTTTATATACTGTTGTAAACATTTTCATTATATCGGCCATCTAAAATAAAAACAAAAACAGAACAATATTATAATTAGATTTTTATTTATAGATATAATTTCATAATATTTTACTTTTTTTTCTTGTGGTTCTAGAACAACAGCAACTCGTTGTTTTTCTTCTATTGGATCTTTCATTGTTGTATTTTCTGTTAGTTTTGGTTTAAGATGAAATGGTAAATCATGTTGAAGTTGTGTAGGAATTTGTAATGGACGAAATACACGTTCTTTTCTTTCAATTGGTTTATATAGAGAATCAATATTAGGTTCATTACGAATATTCATATCACGTTTTATTTGACCAAGAGATCTAAATTAATTATGAATATTGTAGAAATAATATTTTCTTTAGTTACATGATATTAATACAAAATGTATCAAGTAAAAACAATCTCTAATAGACAATAGTTATTTTCAAATGATAATCGATCGTCAGGGACAAAATGTGTCTCTGTTCGATTTCTACATTTCGGTTAGAAATATATTCTTTTTTTTACCTAACGCTCTTTTCTTTATTTCGTTTATTGCTATTCGCTTGTTCTTTTTTTTTCTTTTTCTTCCCAATTTATGATTATTTTTTTTTTATTCTCTACTCATCTTATTGATTTAATTCGCAAATAAGTATGTGTCGCACACATTGCATTATATCAACAGCAGATCTGAATGCACTATTATGTGTGGTAATACTGACATTGATTATTCATAAAAGTTAGAGTTTAATCACTGTATGGTTTTTCTATGAGTCATCTATGATATTTGTGGCAAATGATGATACATCATTACCTATCATTTTTCATATAAGTGCTGAGGCACGCAAAGAAAAAGAAATTGTGTGATATGAAACGTTGGAAAATGTATTCTAGTAGTTTAAATGGCAAAGAAACCTTTAGAAAGTTCCAGAAACATCGAGGCCTTGTTATTAATGTCGTTCAGAATGTTTTTCTGTTATTCATCATCCTAGATTACTAAGAGAACATACTCCGTGACCTTTAACTACTGACAAGAGTAACTAGAATCTAAGATAAGTAGAACTCTTGGGTTTATATTTTCATTTATTATTTTTCTTTGGAAATCTAATAGTTTGAGACAATGATTTCGATTCTAAATATTACTAAATTCAATTTGAAATTTCTTTTCAATAGTTTGTTTAAGATTGAAATAAATAAAAATGTAATGAATCCATGATAGTAAGAAAGTGTCATACGACTAAGTAATAACTTCTCTGATAGATGTAAATTATCATTAGTTTTAATCTATAATTTAGATCAGAACGGTCCATCTTCAAGCGTGACTATATAGAATGTCTCAGAGATCAATTATTAAAAAGAAAATTATACATATCTACATTATTTTGATCAAATGAGTTGGTTTTATTCATATGTTGACAGATACATTTGGAATTCATCCTTATCTACTTCAATGCAAAATTGACTCTCTTTC